CACCAGGAGGAACCAGAACCTCCACAGTTTGACCACCAGGAGGAACCAGAACCTCCACAGTTTGACCACCAGGAGGAACCAGAACCTCCACAGATCAAAGTAGAGGATGAGGAGCTCTGCACCAATCAGGAGGAAGATCAGCTTCATCTGAAGCAGGAGACTGATCCGGTTCTGGTGACTGTTTTATATGAAAAAAGTGAACCAGAACCAGACAAGGAGCAGCTCGGTCATCATGGTAACCAAGCAGGCCAGTCAGCAACATCTGAGATGTTTTCTTGTCAAATCTGTGGAGAAACCTTTTCAGATACATACATACTTTCCAGTCATGTGAAGGTCCACAAAGTCTGGAACCAGAACTCTGAGAAACTGATGTATTGTTGTCCCACCTGTGGGAAAAACATCTCTGGTTATAGTCACTTAGTCAGACACATGAGGTTCCACACAGGGTTGAAGCCATTTTCTTGTAAAATGTGTGGAAAAGGTTTTTGCCAAAAGTACTATTTGAACTGGCACATGAGGGTCCACACAGGAGAGAAGCCGTTTATTTGTAAAATGTGTGGAAAACGTTTTAACCAATTTTACCATCTTAATCGTCACATGAAGATCCACACAGGAGAGAAGTCACATATTTGTAAAACGTGTGGAAAAGGCTTTAACAGAAAGTCCCATCTTAATTGTCACATGATGTCTCACACAGGAGAGAAGCCATTTGTTTGTAAAACTTGTGAGAACAGATTCAAACATCGGTCAGATCTTAATCGTCACATGAAGATCCACACAGGATTCAGGCCATTTGTTTGTAAAACTTGTGGAAAACGTTTTAGCAGAAATACTCACCTTACCCGTCACATGAACGTGCACACAGGCTGAGCTGATGCTCTTCTCTCACAGGTGGAGGAAAGTTTCACCAAATGATCTAGAAGAGGTTTTACAGCCAGGAGAAGAAACGTTCAGAATGTGGAGAAAAGTCTTAAACTGCCTGTAATTCTTCAGATACAGAAAGTTAAAGGAAACATTGTTATTTTTAAGAACTTTGACACATTACATAGGATTRWACACATTTAGTCACATAACTGTAGTCTGTCATAACTTTCAGGGTTTGACAAATGTAGTTCTGCCCGGGGCAGGTAAAATGAATAATCGCACAGTTGGTGTGACTGGGCAGGTTAACCTTTTGTTTTGTTTTTATATGGCCGTAGGAATCTTGTCCCCTATTGTTAGAAAAAACTGTTTTGTTATAAGAAGGGGAATAAATACTGTAAAAGTGATGTAGTTGTTGTTTATATTAATTATTAAACTAGTAATTGCACTTTTCTCATGTCCTTGTTTTTTTAGCCTACCAAAAATTGATGAACATTTTTCTGTCTTCTGTCCTGTGATCTGACAAATGCACCTCTGGCTTTATTTCAGAATCATTTATTGTCATTCACACAACATCAAGATGCAATGCAGAACAAAATTTGCAGTTTAGAGCATCCGTCCGGAGAAACACACAAATAACAAACGGGGGAACGAATGTCCAAGGTCTTTCACACTAGAAAGACTTTGTGTGACAATGTAARTTTATTAAGTTACTTTGGTCTAATTCAGTCTGTATTTTTGAATTTTCTATTTTARCTTCTCAATAATAACTGAGCAGTGTTTGAACCAAATTGTTTTCCTTCTCCCTTTTTTCTATTTCTACACTTTTACTGAAAACAATAGATAATTTGCTTTTGAAAAATTAAAAAACTCCTGCAGCATAACCTGATCCTAAATGTAATTTGGAGGCCCTAACCCTAACCGCCTCTTCAGGTAGTGTCAGAAGTTTGTAAAAGCTGAACAAGAGCAGGAAGTTTAGGAGCAGCAACAATTGTGCAGAAGCCCTGAAAAAGATGGAAAGAAACAGAAATAAGCTCTGGGAAATTATTTTCCAATGAGTCAGTAGGGGGCAGCAGCCCACCATCTAACTGTCACATGGTGGGAGTTTTATTATCATTTTGACAGGTTATATTAAATTAACTTGAATTAGACTATTTTTATTTTTTTTAATGATAGATAGATAGATAGATAGATAGATAGATAGATAGATAGATAGATAGATAGATAGATAGATAGATAGATAGATAGATAGATAGATTGTTTTATGGATTGAAGTATCTGCTGCTGCTGTTAAACCCGAATTTCCCCTCTGCGGGACCATAAAGGTTGTTTCTATTCTATTTATTTATTTCGATCATTTTTTGATGGATCTAATTCGTTATTTCCAGAAAAAGCTGTGTTTAGTAGCAGATCATAAGACCAGTGGAGGGCAGCATTAAGCTATGCTAACAWACAGCCTGCCGGAAGTAGAAGAACGGAAGGCGGAAGTCACGTGTTTTATGAG